ACAAAACATTGCGCGGTGCCCCGGTGCGCACGAGGAAACAGACACGTCTGAGGCTGAGGCCGCCCGGCGGCGCGTAGCAGCTGCCAGTGCCAGATGTAGCCAACATCTATGCATGCATGCATACGTCCACGACGCGCGTAGAACTGCTAACTTTCTCCGTGTACTAGCTTCGATCCGTTCCTAGCCCGTGCGGAACCAACCTATAGCAAGACACACGATCGTTCGTGGCTCAGTCAGTGAGTCAGTCAGTCCAAGAGGACCAAAACCGGTACGGCACGCTAGCTGCATCTGGATATATACCGCCGAGTGAAAATGCGTGCCACACAGCACAGCACAGCAGCCAGCAGCACTGGGACGGACACTTACGTACTACGTGCCTTCAATTCGCTCCCTCCGCCCTCCGCATCAGGCTCCCATTATATTTTGGCGCGTCCACTCCAACGTGCGTGCGTGTACCGCGCCGCTCTACACCGCCGTGTCGTGTCTCAGTGTCCGCGACTCCGCAAGCAGCAAAGCGAGGGCTGCTAGCTAGGCCGGAGTCTGTGACCTGACCGGCTGATGGAGGGGTGACCCGTGCCCTGTCGCAACTCAACAAAGGCTTTGTAACAAAGGCGACTGGACGTGCGCTAGCGTACAACAAATAAAGCGAGGCACCAAATCCACCAAGCCGTCGTCACGACCCCCCCAACCGCGCCACTTCCCTTCCCGCTGCCTTCCTGCCTGCCCCTGCCTCCGATCCGCGCCCGGCCTCGGATGATATATATAAGAAAGAAAGCAGCAACGGACGGGACAACGTATGTACGCGCGCGGCGCGCACCTCGCCGTCCCCGACGCTGATCTAGTCATTTGATCTGTGCGGAAGTGTGGCCACCACCACACCACCACCACCACTATAACTGCTCATCTATATATATAAACCACCACCACCACCACACAGATCGCCGGCCCTCCCCTCCTGTGCCGTCGTCCTGTGGCTGCGCGGACACTAGTCCATTTCTTCTTCCGACGAATCCTTGTCCTCCTCGATCGGATCCTGTGGCCGTGTTGGCTGGCCGGCTGTAGTCTCGCGGTCGGGCGCGACGGCCGACGGCGGCGGCGACCACAAGGAGGGGCTGAAGGCGGGGGGAGGAATGGCGGGGCCGGCGGCGTCGTGGCGGCTCAACGTCAGCGACTTCCAGATGCCGGAGCGGCCCAAGGAGCCGCCCTTCGTCACCAGAGTCTTCCTCCGCAGCCACGGTACCGCACCCGCCCCCTCAACTCGCTCCGATCCTCTGATCTGCCTGCATGCACACAACTACTCCATGTCTGCAATATATATTCAGTTCTATCGGCAGATCAAAATGGCGCTAGTTATTGTCGCGGGTTAGTACGTATCTCGTGTTCACGCACGTTCCGTGTCTCATGGTAACTCATAATTGATTGATTGATCAACTGGGAGAAAACTGACTGAAACTGCTAAGGCCAGCAGGCACACAATTCTTGCTTCTCGTAGTGATCTGGGTTAGTTATCTCCAAGATAATACCACCGAAAAGATCATGGCAAACCGACTATGGCGATGACAACAAACTAAAATGGTGTTTAGTGGAGTCCCATGTGGACCGTATAATTGTATACACTTTTTTTGTGTGATCCTTTCATCAATCATGCCGTGCATGCATGGCCCTGCTTCCACACTCCAAAAGTTCAAAGTATCAAAGTGGCGATAGTTACATACTTGTAGTGGATTCAAATTGTTGTCATGAAAGCAGTGGCCTGTATTTTACGCCCTATTCATTTGGCTTATAAGCCGTACTTTTTCAGTCAACGAACAATATTTTTTCTCTCACAACAAATCAGCCAACGGTACTTTAGCGAGACATTAGTCTGTTCGCGGTCCTTATATATGTTGCACGCTCCGGTACCGGAGCCCCGGACGATATCTGCTCGTTTCCATTGTTTTTTCTTTTGAATTCTTTTACGTTTTATATTTAAGCTCGAGTTGGACAGAAGTAGTAACCCCGGCTGGTCCAGTAACTGCACACTGCACTGATAATCTGATATACTCCGTGTTATTTACATATGTGAAACTGGTGAACGTCTTCTGAGTTCGGCTTATTACTGATGAATATGGAAATCGGATAAAAATGTGGTGGGGTCGATCTCCAGCTGCATGCAACTATACCTATATATCGTCCAAGTACACTTTTCTTGTTGTTCGTGACTGCAAGGCGTTTCAATTGAAGCAGCCTAGCTAGTCTCGTTTTTTGTCATGGACACGGTCGAGGGCATCTCTGTGGGAACGTTCCTTGTGAGCTTGACAATTACAAGACGCTTAGGACGACGTAATCGCTTAGAGAAGTCCAATCACGCTTGTTTCTTTGGTAAATATATATAAATAAATGAAATTTCTGTCGGCGAACCGCAGGGGTACGACAACGATCGAGCGAGAATTGTTTTGGCCTTCGTTTTAAAAAAAATGGTCTGGGCTGCTGTATCTGTGTTCCACGTACGTACGTACGCAGCATGCGCATTGATTGCTTCAGTGCATGCACGCAACTCGGCAGCCTCGCCAGATTTGGCGTCGCACGCGTCACATATCGTGCAAGTAAAGGATATGCTAGATGCCAGGAGTCAAAGAATGATCCGTGTAAAATACCGAAAGGTTTCGTGCAGCTGGACTATGGCTGCGTTTAGATACCCATGGATCGTAGAAGCTAGCTTTTAAAAGTTAGATTGTTAAAAGCTGGATCATAAAGGCTCAGTTAAGAGACCTATTTGGATTCATGCGTCGCAAAAGCTGAGGTCGACTGGTCTGTATAGCAAAATTACCATTTGGATTCATACATCGCAAAAGCTGGGGTAGACTGGTCTGTAGAGCAAAATTACTATAATGGCCTCCATCTCTGGACTAGATGGCCAGATGGGCCAAAAGGCAATGTACAGATTGGCGAAATTAGATTCAAAAGCTGAAAGAAGCTAGATTTCCTCACCTTACTAGATCGTGGAATCTCGAAGCTCCTGACTGTAGAAGTTGGCTAGAAGTTATTAGAAATGTTTGGATCCCTAGGTAGCTTCTAGAAGCCAGCTTCCATAATTTGCTGGAATCCAAGCCAGCCCTATTTGCCATGGAAACGTATTAGTGAGTACGAAGGCCTAATCTTTATCCCGTTGTGCTCTATCACTATGTGCAATTTTTGCAGTATAGTATAGTTAAATGTGACTTTAGCAAAATCTTTACTTGCGCTGGTATTCCTTCTTATCCCACTTTATAAGGCGCTCATGTAAATTAAAATTCAAAATTTGTTAACCCATAATTTAGTACAATTAAATTTGTAATGATAAGTACTTTTGAGTAATTATAATTTTACAATTATATAAACAATATAAACTAAAGTAAATAAAAAGGTTAAAGTATAACTTTGATAACCCTGCCATGCTAAATTACGCTGGTCAAGATGTAGCCGAAAGACAAAAACGCACCACAAGCTAAGCCAAGTTGAATGACGCAAGCAAGGGCTCTCAGATAAGGCCTGCCCCATCGCTCCATGCTGGCTTGGAGCCCCAGCTTCCATGTGGACGTGCATCATCCAAAATCACTGGCGATGGCTTCGCAGAGGGTCGTCAAAAGTGTCTCCAGATGTACGTAGGCTAAAAAAATGCTAAAGAACCTGCTGAAACATGAGTTGTGGTGGGAAATGTTGATGCCTCGTCTCATGGAATGGTAAAAAGGTTTGGCAAATGGTTCTTGTTGTTGGATATATACGTTCCCGCGTCTTCTTCGCATGCGTGGCCTGTAGCGTCTTCTTTGCATGCGTGGCCCGTAGAATTTATCCGCCGTGGCTGTAGAATTTATTCGTGGCCTGTAGAATTTTCCGGGGCATACGACTGTGCTAGCTTGTACTGGGCGTGCCTTTACTACTCCCAGATAAGTACTACCAAGACGCAACCATCTGCTTTCGGAAAGTGGAAAGCTATATGGAACCACCGGCACTATTACGTCGGTTCGATGTGGCTTTCAGCAGCGAAAGTGCGAAACCTCAAAGAAGTTTCGACGCATTCCGTGGCTGTGTAGCAATCCCTGTACAACTTGACAACCCTCTCGTCAAATCGATGATGTCTTTGGGACACTGCAACCAAACCATCTTCGGCCTTGTTTAGATTAAAAAAAATTTCAACCCGATGAATAATAGCACTTTCGTCTTATTTGGTAAATATTGTCTAATCGTGGACCAACTAAGCTTAAAAGATTCATCTCGTGATTTCCAACTAAACTGTGCAATTAGTTATTTTTTTACCTACATTTAATGCTCCATGCAAACAGCTAAAAATTGATGTGATAGAGAGAGAGTGAAAAAACTTGGAATTTTGAGGGTATCTAAACAAGGCCTTCTTTTGGATGGAGAATGCTCTGGTAAAAAAGCATAACAAGCATTCACCTTCGCCTGACGACTGCTCTGGACTCCCGTACCGTACGTCGCCTTCGCCAGCGGCGGCCACTTGGGCAGGGCAGGTGTGGGCTTATGTTGCTGCGCGCGGTGCCGTCTCCAATTCTGTCTCGTTCTCTCCCGTTGTCCTGGTCCTGCTCATGGAGGAGGGAGGCGGAGCTGATGAGATCGATGGCCCGCGGCGCCTTACCCCGTCACGTCCGTCGGTCCGGGTCGCATCCCTTTCCGTCCCGGGGAAGCTGCGAAACACCGGCTGGGTCGCCTGCCGCTTAGACGCTTCGTGATTGGACACAACACGCGGCCGCTCCCCGTACGCACGATTGGGCCACGACGCCAAACGCGGGCCTAGGTTTAGGGAGGCCAAGCCGATCCGGAACGTTGCGTTGCGTCCCGCACCTTTCCGTTCCTGGGCACGCGAGCGGCGATAAACTCTCCCGAGGCGGTGGTGAGTCGGAGCAGAGGCAGAGCTGATCGACTTGCACGCGGCGGCCACGCACACTAGCCTGCAGCTGCAGGGCAGGTGGCCACTAGCCCAGCCTGACGACTCCAGCCACGGGCGGGGCGGGGCGGAGACCATGGGGAGCCCGAACCAAGGACGCGGCGTTGACGGTGGCGGCGAGGAGGGCGGCGCCGGGTCGTGGCGGCTGCGCATGGACAGCGGCGGCTTCACCGTCCCGGACCGGTTCCACCGCCAGCCGCCGCCCTTCTACGCCAGGATCTTCGTCGGCGGCTCGCACGGTGCGCCGCACGCACCCACGCCCCCCCACTCCATCTTCCATTTTGTCTCTTCCGCCAAGTCTTATTATTATTGTTTGCTCCCGTCTGCTTTCGGTTTCGCCGCGCAGTTTCTGTCGTCTTCTTCATATAATTGAATCTCATTATTAGTGTAGTATAGGAGAACGACAAAATCCTCCCACGAGAAAATTGACAGCAAGGCTATTGGAACTGAACTCACAACTCGTCGCTGTTGATGATTTGGCGGCTCTATAAATTCTGAAGTTAGAGCTGTTCTTTTATGTGCCGCAACGCTCGACGTGAGCATCCACTAATTTTCATTCTACGACAATAGACAACCTTAGCTCGTTTCACCGAATTTAAATGCCAAAGTTTAGCCACCACACACACACACAAAAAGGGGGAAAAAAAAAAAAGAAGTAGCTAGCAATATTTACTACAGAGTACTTACAGCTTTTCCCATATCTTTGTAGTGGAAGTAAACAATCAAGGGCCTGTTTGGAACGAAGGAATCCAAAACGCAGGAATAGAAAAAAAAAACGTAGGAATAAGATATGATGAAAAGTGAAAAACTACGGGATTTCAAAACACAGGAACAGAAAATTTATGCTGTTTGGAACACATGAATTTATAACATAGGAATTGTAACATGTTAGGCAAATATGGATACTAATTACTATATCTATTAGGCACGAATATGACCCCACCATGTTCTTCTTGCCTTAACTGCTCTTTTTTCCCTCCACTTCGTCGATGTGGTCCATGCTCATGATGCTACGCTCCCAGATGACACTTGCCGCCATCTCGTAATCACTAATTTGCTCGAGCAATCACGAAGGAAAAGAAAAAAAGGATTGGAGTGGATTCTTTTCTTCCCGTGAAATCGGCATCTAGCTATAGGAATCCAAAGGAAAGGAAATCTCAATTCCTCCATTCCAAACACACTCTTGGTTTCCTTTCCTCCGTTTCTTGGTTCCTATGATTTTCCTTTGAAAATCCTCCAATCGAAACAGGCCCTAACCGTACAAAGGTGATTAGAACAAGTATTAGTCACGGCAGATGTCATGTGGGGCCACGCCTATACAAGGAAATGGCGCACCCGGGATGTACGCAGAGCAGTTGAGGATTTGGGCGCGATCACCAGGTATGCAGGCGCGCCATCTGAAGATGGCGCGGTCACCAGGCATGCAGATAAGGAAGAAATGGCAACTGGCTAGAAGGAAATAATAGCCGATCAAGGCCTTAGAATTAGGAGCAATTAGCACCAGTTTGTAGTGCCGAATGACCTATATATATGAGGATACTCAGGATGATTAATAATCAAGCAAGAATTATTACCTAATCTCTCTTCTTCTTCCTCTAAACCGACTGGGAGCTGAGGGGCAAAACCTCGCTCCGTTACCACGGATCGCGGCTACGAACTCCGTAGCCGGGGTCCCGCTTCTCTCGGACCCGACGTCCTTGACAACCTGGTATCACGATCCAGGCCTTCCTCGCCTCGCCGATCATCCTCGCCTCCGCCGCCGCTCCAAGCTACTTCTGCCCCACCCACCCCTCACCAAGCCGTTGTCATGGGAGACAGGGAGGCCACCCTCCAGGCTACTCTGGACGCCCTGGCCGCCACCCTCAAGTCTCTGCAGGCGTCAGTCGATGCCAACTCTCAGGCGATCCAACGCCTGAACGCTGCCCAGCCGACGTCGTCTTACTTCAGCTACAAGTCCGCCTTCAGGGAGCACCACCAGGACCGACCGCCACGGTTCCAGAAATTGGATTTCCCACGGTATGATGGCAAATCCGATCCGCTCATCTTCATTAACCACCGCGAATCCTACTTCCACCAGCAGCGCATCATGGAGGAGGAGAAGGTTTGGATGGCCTCCTACAATCTGGAGGAGGGGGCCCAGATGTGGTACATCTAGATACAACAGGACGAGGGAATTCCGTCGTGGTGCCGCTTCAAGGACCTGCTGCACCTGCGCTACGGACGTCCTCTGCGCTCGAACCCGCTCGGCGAATTGGTGGCGTGCAAGCACACGGGCACCTTCGTGGAGTACCAGGATCGTTTCCAAGCGCTCCTCCCTCGCGCGGGCCACCTGGACGAGGAACAACGGGTCCAGCTCTTCACCGCGGGCCTCCAACCGCCGCTCAGCTTCGACGTCGAGGTGCATAATCCGCAGTCCCTCGCCGGAGCCATGAGCCTGGCACGCAAGCTCGAGCCGTGGGAGCAGTACGCGGTGCCTCCACCTCGTGCGGCGCCCCGAGCACTCTTACCGACGCCCGCACCGCGTCTTGCTCTGCTGGCGCCGCCCGTGACCAACTCGACCGCCCCGACCACAGTCACCATGGAGGGCCGGCCAATCAAGTGCCTCACCCAAGCCAAGCAGGAGGAACGCCGCCGCTTGGGCCTCTGTTACAATTGCGACGAGAAGTTCGGTCGGGGGCATAACCGGGTCTGCAAGCGCCTTTTCTTGCTGGAGGGAGTTGTAGAGGACGTCGAAGAGGGCGACACCGAGACGAGCCCCCACTTCTCGCTCCACACCATCGCCCGCGTCCACTTCAGCGACACGATGCAAATCTAGGTCGCGCTGGGCGACACGTCCCTCATCGTGCTCCTCGACTCCTGCTCGACACACAATTTCATCTTCAATGCAGCCGCGCAGCGCACAGGACTCCCACTGCAGCACCGTCCCCACCTGATGGCCACGGTGGCCAACGGCGAGCGCGTCTCCTGCCTGGGCGTCATCCGCCAGGCCACGTTCACCATCAGCGGCGACACCTTCACCGCCGACCTGTTCGTCATGCCTCTCGCCGATTACAATGTTGTCCTCGGGGCACGCAGTGGCTCGTGACGCTGGGCCCAATCCTCTGGGATTTCCGCGCCCGGATGATGACATTCAAGCGTCACGTGCGTGACGTCTGCTGGCACGGGATGGCTGGTCCTGACGCACCCGGCCTTCGCACGACTACTGCCAGCGCCACCCTGCTGGATGAGCTCCTCGACTCCTTCTCTGATGTCTTCGCTGAGCCCCACGGTCTGCCTGCTCCTCGCAGCTGCGATCACAGCTGAAAGGTCCTTGTTGGTTTTGGTAATTGAGTGACAACCTAGGTGGACTAATTGTGTTTATGTGAGATACACAGGTGATTAGTCCACAGGTACATGTGTATGAGCAACATATGCCATGGAGGTGAAAATGGCTTGGAGATGTTGCAAAGCTCACACATGTGATGATGAAGGAGCTTAACGCACATGAGACATGACATTGAGTCATGTGATCAAGGTGGAGAAGATCAAGACAAGACTTGGCTTGATGGACCGGTTGCAAGCGTGAAGGGCAAGTCGAAGGCTTTGGAGTGATGGACCGCGTGGCGGTGAAGCTTGAGCAAGACTTGGCGCCGATGGACGATGGCAACGGTGAAGGGCAAGTGAAGTCAAGATCGATGAACCAATATGATCACGTGATGATATGAAGTGGATCATATCATTGTTGATAGTGTTGGTGCATGTGTTGCATCGACATTGGAGGAGATGGAATGGAATGCGCAAGGCAAAGGTATAACCTAGGGCATTTTATTTCACCGGTCATAGGTGTGTAGAGAAGTTGATGACCGGGTTTAGGATAGATGGCCGTACTATCAAGAGGAGCAAACTTGTTTGTATATCGGTTATCTAGTGCCACTCGAGTGATCTAACTTTGCATCGTCGCTAGGATCGAGTGGCGTGGCAAGTTGAGTGGCTAACATCCTTTGGGAAATGATTGTGAAAATGCTAACACACATACACATGGTGGTGTACACTTGGTGGTGTTGGCACATTTACAAAGGAGGTGGTGTTTGCAAGGGTGAGATGAGTTTGGGTCCCTCTCTCCCTCCCGCCGAGCTTGCGAGGCGGGATTCGGCGCTTTCGGGAAAATAGAATGCCTATTTTCTATTGCGCCGGATACAAGTTCTTGTGGTTAGCACATTGGAGCAAGGGTGATGAAGTTAGAAGTGAAAACGAGTTAGTCGCGAAGATGCTGACGTCGATCAACTGACCGGACGCTGATTCAATGCACCGGACGCCGGGCAGTGTCAGTGTCCGGTCAGCCGGGCGTATTTATGACGCAGAAGTGGAGTGTGACCGACGACGCTGGCTGCGTCCGATCAGAAATGTGACCGGACGCGTCCGGCCGAGGTCGGTACTATCTTGGAACGACCGGACGCCGGGGGAAATTCAGCGTCCGGTCGATTGAAGTTGCTTTGTCCGGTTAGGTCAAGTGACCGTTGGAACCGGTCACGTGGTCGTCTGACGGGCGACCGGACGCCGAGGTCCAGCGTCCGGTCAACTCGACCGAGCGTCCCGGTCGGCCCGACCGCTGCCCGAAAGAAGGGGTAACGGCTAGTTTAGCCCTTGGGGCTATAAATAGAAGTGGCCCTCGGCCATGGTGGTCTTGAGAGCACCTCAAGGGACTTAGTGTCCATGCTTGTGAGTGCTTGGGAGCCCTCCATCACACACATACTTGATAGCGATCATCCGATTGTGTGAGTGAGTGATTCTAGTGCGATTGCATCGTGAAGTTGCATCGAGTGGCACTAGGTGATCGAGTTGCGAGCCGGTGGTGCTTGTTACTCTTAGAGGTTGCCACCTCCTAGACGGCTTGGTGGTGGTCTCCGTCGAAGCCCGCAAGAAGCTTGTGCGGCGCTCCGGAGAAGTGCTTGTGAGGGGTACTTGTGCTCGCCCCGCGGGAGTCGCGAAGAGCAACTTTAGTAAAGCGTGTCATTGAGCTACCCTCACTCAAGGGGTAGGTTCTTGCGGTGCCCGACGTGCGGGCTTAGCGGGTGATGCTAATTAGCCGCCGAACCACCAAGTGAGCAGTCGACACAACGGGGACTAGCGTGTTGGCAAACATGTGAACCTCGGGAGAAAAATCATCGTGTCAACCTTGTTCTTCCCGTTGGTTTGCATCCCCATTACACAAGCTTGCAATTACTTTTATACATATTAAGCTTGTGTAGTTGCTCTTGTAATTAGTTAGCTTGTGTAGCTTACTAGTTACCTTCTTGCTTGTGTAGCATAGAAGTAGCTCCCTTGCGTGGCTAATTTGGTTTTAATAACCTTGTTAGTCACATTGCTTAGTTTCTGTAGCTAAGTATTTGCGCTCTCTAATTAGGCATTGGTTGTCTTGTTATTGAGCTTTGCTAGTGAGCTTAGTTGGCTTTGTGCTTTTGCTTACTAGCATGTGTAGGAGCTTCCTTGTTGCTTAAAGTACTAGTGGCATAGGTTTGTGTGACCTTGCTCCTAGAATTGTTTAGGAGAGCTCTAGCTAGCCCGGCACCTTAGTTGCATAATTAGTATCTTTGCAAGGTGCTAGTGAACATATATAGAGGGGTGTAGTCTTGGCTAGACCGATTGTTTTAATTCCGCATTTATATCGGTTAGCCGACGTGATTAATTTTAGAAAAGACTATTCATCCCCCCTTTAGTCCGCCATCTCGACCTTACAACAGCATCATCCTCCTGCCGGGATCGCAGCCCGTGGTGGTCCGCCCCTACCGGTACCCGGCGACGCACAAGGACGAGCTGGAGCGGCAATGCGCCGCCATGCTGGACCAGGGGCTCATACGCCGGAGCTCCTCGGCCTTGTCTTCCCCAGTCCTCCTTGTCAAGAAGCCCGATGGGTCGTGACGATTCTACGTCGATTACCGCGCCTTGAACGCGATCACCGTCAAGGATGCTTTTCCCATCCCGGTGGTTGATGAGTTGCTGGACGAACTCCACAGCGCCAAGTTCTTCACCAAGCTGGACCTCCGCTCAGGCTACCACCAGGTCCGCATGTTCCCCGCCGACATCGCCAAGATGGCGTCCCGCACACACGACGGGCTGTACGAGTTTCTGGTGATGCCGTTCGGGCTATGCAACGCTCCAGCCACGTTCCAAGCACTGATGAAAGACGTCCTGCGCCCTTTCCTTCGCTGGTTTGTGCTCGTGTTTTTTGATGACATCCTCATCTACAGCTCATCTTGGGCGGATCACCTCCGGCACCTCCGGCACCTCCGTGCCGTCCTCACCGTGCTGCAGTAGCACTGGCTTTTCGTCAAGCGTTCTAAGTGCGCTTTTGGGGTCGGCTCCATCTCCTACCTGGGGCACGTTATCACCGAGGCCGGCGTCACCATGGATCCCGCCAAGGTGCAGGCGATCTGTGACTGGCCCCAGCCCCGCTCGGCGCGTGCAGTACGGGGCTTCCTAGGCTTGGCGGGGTACTACCGCAAGTTCGTCCACGACTACGGCACCATTGCGGCTCCCCTCACGGCGCAGTTAAAGAAGGAAGGGTTCCGCTGGACTGCCGACGCACCCGCGGCATTCCAGGCCCTCAAAGCCACGGTCACCTCGGCCCCGGTTCTGTCCCTGCCGGACTTCGACAAGCCGTTCATCGTCGAGTGCGATGCGTCGACCCACGGTTTCGGGGCAGTGCTCATCTAGGAGAAACACCCGATCGCCTACTTCAGCCGGTCCGTCGCGCCGCGACACCGTTCCCTCGCCGCCTACGAACGGAAACTGATCGGCCTCGTCCACGCCATCCGTCATTGGCGTCCGTATCTTTGGGGACGCCGCTTCCTGGTGCGCACGGACCACTTCAGCCTCAAATTTCTCCTCGACCAGCGCCTCGCGACGATCCCACAACATCATTGGGTCGGCAAGCTCCTCGGGTTCGACTTCACCGTTGAGTACAAGCCCAGTGCCACGAACATGGTGGCTGACGCCCTCTCGTGCCGCGACACTGAAGAGGGCGCTGTCCTCACCATCTCCGCACCTCGGTTCGACTACATCGAGCGACTCCGCCTGGCTCAGGACACCGATCCGACCCTCGTCGCCATCAGGGATGAGATCACTGCAGGCACCCGGGCGGTGCCGTGGTCCCTCATCGACGGCATGGTGGCCTATGATTCCCACCTCTACGTTCCACCGGCGTCACCACTACTGCCGAAAATCATGGCCGCCGTGCACGAGGACGGCCACGAGGGTGTGCAACGCACCGTGCACCATCTATGCCACGACTTCCACTTCCCCAACATGTGCCGCATGGTCCAGGACTACGTCCGAGCATGCTCCACCTGCCAGCGATACAAATCGAAACATCTTCATCCGGCTGGCCTACTCATGCCGCTGTCGGTCCCGAAGGCGGTCTGGACCGACATCGGTCTGGACTTCGTGGAGGCGCTGCCGCGCGTCGGGGGAAAATCTGTCATACTGATAGTAGTTGATTGCTTCAGCAAGTATTGCCACTTCATTCCCCTAGCTCACCCGTATTCTGCAGAGTCCGTGGCACAGGCTTTCTTCACCGACATTGTTCGACTCCACGGCATGCCTCAATCGATGGTGTCCGACCGCGATCCGGTGTTCACTTCTAAGTTCTGGAGGGAGCTGATGCGCCTCATGGGCGCCAAGCTACACATGACAACGGCTTTTCATCCGCAATCGGATGGCCAGACGGAGGCAGCCAACCGCGTCATTGTCATGTACCTATGCTGCTTCACCGGTGACCGGCCCCATCAGTGGCTTCGCTGGCTGCCGTGGGCGGAATACATCTACAACACGGCCTACCAAACTTCACTCCGCGACACGCCGTTCCAGGTGGTCTACGGCCGGGACCCGCCTACCATTCGGTCCTATGAGCTGAGCGAGACTCGTGTCGCTGCCGTCGCTAAGAACATGGCAGACCGCGGCGAGTTTTTGGAGGACGTCCGCTACTAGCTTGAACAAGCCCAGGCGGTCCAGAAACTGCACTACGACAAGCTGCACCGGCAAGTCTCCTACGCGGTGGGCGACTGGGTTCTACTCCGTCTACGCCATCACCCGGCCGCCTCATTGCCCCAGGCGACCACAGGGAAGCTGAAGCCTCGCTTCTTCGGGCTGTACCGCGTCACCGAGCTCATCAACAAGGTTGCCGTGCGCCTCGCCCTGCCTCCGCACACTGGGCTGCACGACGTCTTCCACATCGGCCTCCTCAAGAAGTTCATCGGTGATCCGCCAGCTACACCGCCACCTCTCCCGGTCATCCACAACGGCGCCGCTGTTTCGGAGCCCGAACGGGCAGTGCGCATCCGCCTGGCTCGCGGCGTTTGTCAGGTGCTCATCAAATGGAAGGGAGAAACCGCGGCCTCTGCAACCTAGGAAGATGTGGACTCCTTCCTCCACAAGTACCCTGCGTTCCAGCTCGAGGACGAGCTGCTAGTCGAGGGGGCGAGAGATGTCATGTGGGGCCACGCCTATACAAGGAAACGGCGCGCCCGGGATGTCCGCAGAGCAGCTGAGGATTTGGGCGTGATCACCAGGCATGCAGGCACGCCATCTGAAGATGTGGGCGCGGTCACCAGGCGTGCAGATCAGGAAGAAATGGCAAGTGGCTAGAAGGAAATAATAGCCGATAAAGGCCTTAGAATTGAGAGCAATTAGCTCCAGTTTGTAGTGCCGAATGGCCTATATATGAGGATACTCAGGATGATTAATAATCAAGCAAGAATTATTACCTAATCTCTCTTCTTCTTCCTCTAAACCGATGAGAGCTGAGGGACAAAACCTCGCCCTGTTACCACGAATCGCGGCTACAAACTCCGTAGCCGGGGTCCCGCTTCTCTCGGACCCGACGTCCTTGACAGCAGATGCTCCGAATTCGACTGCAGGAAAGGAAATAATGCATTTATTGTATTACAACTGAAAATAATATGATAACGACAAGTCTTTGTTTTCAATTCACACCACACATAATATGTCCATTCGAACGGCACTTTGTCATGTACTATTTCCGTTGGTTGCCTTAATTTAATCTTTGATTTGGTGGAGAAGACTGTTCTTGTCTCCATGATCACACCGATGTCCTGAATCCTGCCTGTAAGACTGTAAGCGTAGCCGATGATGTGCATTTGACCATCACAAATTACCTCTCAGACTCCTGACTGTAAGCATAGCCGATAATGTGCATTTGACCATCACAAATTACCTCTCAGACTCTCAATGTGTTTCAGACAAGCTGCTTCTTATGTCTTCAAATGTGTGACTGTGATCTTAACCGACTGGTGTGGTAAGACTGGATCATCTCGTGCGGCAAAAGTCAGTTGGTGACTTTGCTTTGCGTGCCCTTAATAAAAGATGATACTGGAGTGTATAGGAAGCCCAACCCTTTGGCTGGACAAGATGTTTTCCAAGTTACCTTTGGTTCATCAATCAATGTTTTCCTTTTGTTCTGTTTTGTCCTGCACCACCTCTGACAGTTCAGTTCCTCATCTCAGGGAAGCAGAGGAAGATCGCAAAGTACTACAAGAAACAAGAAAATCTACTCAAGGATTTCAGCGAAATGGAGACCATGAACGAACTTGGTGGCTTAGATCCGAATGCTGCTTCTTCCGAGGTGCAAGCCCAACTACAGATTTACCGTTATGTACAGTTTATGCGATTATGGAATATGCACCTAGACCATCGATGTTGATATGCTGTGAACTATACCTGCTTCTTCTGTTCTCAGGAAGAGCAGAAGCAGTTGGCAAAGAGCGAGAGGTTTGCTATTAACCTGTCGAATGTAATCAATCTGATCCTCTTCGTCACAAAAGTCGTTGCTTCAATCGAAAGTGTATCCATGGCGGTTATAGCGTCGACGCTGGACTCTCTATTGGACCTCCTGTCAGGGTTCATACTTTGGTTCACGGCGTACAAAATGAAAAAGCCCAACAAGTACAACTATCCGATTGGAAAGCGGCGCATGCAACCAGTGGTAAGGACATTGTTCGTCAAACCGAAGTATTTTGGTTGATTTTTATCATATAACTAAAGAACATCAGAAAGCCTACTCAGCTGTCAGTTCTCAACTTTTGTGTTCTTATCCATTCCTCAGAATCAGTTTACCTCAGAGAGCATAGCTAGAATGAGTTACACACTGGCGTATTTCTGAGTTCCACAATACCTACATCATTCAGAGTGTCCACTTTTGTTGCCGGCAAACTGAATAATTTGACGTTTGTTGTTGCAGGGAATAATAGTTTTCGCATCAGTAATGGGCACACTTGGCTTCCAAGTGCTGATTGAATCAGGGCGCCAGCTCATAACTCAGGTACATGATCTGTGGTTCAGAATTATCGTAACATTAAATCTTATTTCTGAGTTGGTTTCTGATGCGATGGCCCAATCAGGAGCACGCTAAATTCGGGCTCAAGCAAGAGCTTTGGATGGTAGGCAGCATGTCCTCTGTTGCGGTCGTGAAGTTCTTCCTCATGCTCTACTGCCGAACGTTCAAGAATGAGATCGTGAGGGCCTACGCCCAGGACCATTTCTTCGACGTGATCACAAACTCGGTCGGCCTGGTCTCGGCGCTGCTCGCCGTCCGGTACAAATGGTGGATGGACCCACTTGGCGCCATACTGGTAAGCAGAGTTGCAATACAATCTATGAACTTTGTGAGCTACTGGCCTTACTGTAGAACAGTGCCGCCAGAATAACTGACTATAATGAACCCTGAAAAATGTAGATCGCGTTGTACACTATCACAACGTGGGCGCGGACGGTGCTGGAGAACGTGGGCGCGCTGATCGGCAAGTCGGCGCCGGCGGAGTACCTGACGAAGCTCACCTACCTGATCTGGAACCACCACGAGGAGATCCAGCACATCGACACGGTGCGAGCCTACACCTTCGGCACGCACTACTTCGTGGAGGTGGACATCGTGCTCCCGGGCGACATGCCGCTCAGCCAAGCACACGACATCGGCGAGTCGCTGCAGGAGAAGCTGGAGCAGCTGCCCGAGGTCGAGCGCGCCTTCGTCCATGTGGACTTCGAGTTCACGCACCGGCCCGAGCACAAGGCCGAGGTCTGAGTGCGTGGTTACTTCAGAACTCAGACCAGCTGTAATGCTGCTGCACATTTCACTTCATATGTTATTAGTTCGTAAGACGAATGCAATATCATTTCATGAGCCCACAGCTCTTTTTATAAGGGCATCTAGATGTTTTTGTCGTGTCATAGATCGTTACTTTGTATACAGATCGTTATTTGTTATATATATATATATATATATATATATATATATCAAACTACAGTTTCTGGATTCCAGCGATACAGCATTTCAATTTACTACAACGTTATGGTAAATCTACACCATGTCACTATCTTAAATATGTATTGACACGGAAATTAGTATATAAAATTATCATACGAGATGGCTACATAATAACTTATTTTGTAATTGGCTCTAATAATATATATATATATATATATATATATATATATATATATATATATATATATATATATATATATATATCAATCAAACTGCAGTTTCTGGATTCCAGCGATACAGCATTTCAATCTCAGAGCATCTACACCAGCTCACACCGACTTACACGGATGTAAATCTACCATACATGGTGGCCAGTAATACTAATTCAAATGATGACATAACATAACACTTCATGGCGGGTTGTGTATCATGCAAAAGTATCTTACAGGAACTGCTGGGATTATTATAAGGACAAAAACTTGGATAGGTCTTGCCTCTTGGTAGATTAACACCAATTCTATGCTATTCGGCCTTTAGTTCAGGTTTGTCAAAGGCAGCTATGTTTTGAGGTTCACACTCTGGGCTAAAGAGCCGCACAAGCAAGGCTGATGTCGCGCTCATAGAGACTGCTCCGCATGACGCCCACCTGAGACTCCTTGGAACAGTTATTCTTGGACCTACAGAATATACACAGTCTCAGCAAAATGGTATGAGTTCTAGCTTGACCCCAAGGAGAAAGAAAACTACTGCTGACAAGATGCAGGAGTTATACAAAAAGCTTTAAGGAGACAGCAGGATGGATAGGAACATTGACCATAGTGAAGGCGGCAGAGCACCCAGAAAGCCAGACCACCACCAACAGAGAAGATGCCAGCAGTCTGCCGCATCAACCGGGAGCAGGGCTTTGACTCTGGTCGCATAACCTCCCCTTCCGACCATCCTAGTGCCCGTCGCAGTGCCATCTTGATCCTTGGCTTCTTTGCTGATGGATATGTTCCACTGATGTGCTGAAGTTGGTAAGAGGTCCAGCTGTTCAGAGATAACTGTAACTTGCTTCGAGTGCCTCCTCCCTGGTTTCTGAAATGAGAACAATTAGGCACAGCATTCCTTTCATTTGCAAATTAAGGATATGCTAATCTAACCCTAACAAAATATCGATAGGTGTGAATTAGTTTATAGCCTGAGCAGTCCAGTAGGATTAACATACATGAACTTATGCATTGATTTATTGTTCAGCGTCCATCTGCTGAACACTAAAATTGAAAAAAAAAAATCTCACAACATATAACCAATTGACAGTCCGATATCCAATCACCTTTCTGATCCAGGACAAAATGTGCCATACAAATACCGGAAAATATAGTATTCTATCATTCATGGGGCTAGTGTACATATGTTCACTCAAATGACTGTTTGATAAAGAAAATATGAACAAGAACCGCCCATTCTGTTCTAGACTAGGGAAAAGGAACATGTAAGCACCTAACTGCACCAGATATCGATGAACATGCTACCCAATGAGTACAAATATACTATGAGCAGTAAGCTGGGGCCTCGGGGCAAAGGGATATGCATTAGCAGAATGTCTATTTGAAAAACTGCAGATACGAGATTTAAATTTGGTCCTGGTCGGCGATACCGGATATACAGATGAAAGGCATCTTTATGGTAATCCACCAATTCGTAATTCTATAAGCAGACGTGGGTTACAAATCAATGTATATCATGCACGCCAGACAGCAACCTTCTCCAATTCAAAATGGCGAGAAAAAAAGCCTTTGCTTCCTGTAAACTTGCAGCACAAGGAGTTCAGGAACCCAAAGTTCAGCGCTAGCTACTTTAGTCAAAGGCAAAGTGGAGTACTGAACCTAGTTTACCCAAAAAGGCCGGGACAAACACTCATAGGTTCCTCCCCAGAACCGCACACCAGATGCTCGACGATATGCCCCAGAAACCAACCAGCACAAGAATACCAATAGCTTGCTCCACGAATTTCCCCCAGGCCATAGCACGATAAAATCGACACTAATAAACAAACACGGCGTGAAGACCGTAGAAAGCTGCTACTAGGAGAGTAGGAGAAGGGCATGGTTTCAGGCGCAGGACATGCAGAGGTTAGGTTACGTACCGCCGGTGGCGTTGTTTCCTTGCGCGCTGTGTAGTCCTGCCTGAACTGGAACTCAATGGACTGTGCTCCGAGAGGCGGAGAGGAGGGATCCTTGCTTCACGCGCGGGCGGCGCCGGCGACTACGCGGATGCCGGTGTTGGAGGAGCGCGCTGCGAAGCGGAGAGGGGAATGAACCACGAGTGAGTTGGAGTCGGTGGTCTTCTTATCAGGGAACAAGCAATGCGTGGGCTTGCGGAGGAGGCCTTGTGAGGCTACTGGGCTGATTCTGAGAGGCGCTGGAGGCGAGTTACAGGCCCAAGAATGCTGGTCAGCCCAACATGCAAGTTATTACGCTTTGATTTGGGCCACGATGTGAACGTTGAAAGAACTTAAAACCTTGCACACCTACCTAATAAGTTAACAAAAGCGAGTTGCTCAAAAAAAAAAAAAAGAACAAAAGCGAGGATAAAGAGTGTGGACTTCGCTAGCAACGCGCTGCAAATGGAACTGAAGGCCTGCATCGAGGGTACATGTGCGGGCGAGCCAGGTGGGAATCAAGGTTTTGGAAACTGATGCTCTGGTGGTCTGGGCTCTTCAAGGAGATGGTTACAGATTATCGTCGATAGGTGGTCTTGTGCATGAGCTAAAGAAATTGTTAGCTGAAAACTTTGTTGTATACCAGGTGCAATATATGCCCCTCGAGAATGTAATCTTGTAGCTCATTAGCTTGACGCTCTAGGGAGAAGCTGTCAAGAGGATGTGCCTCTAGCCCTGGCCAAAGTGCCCAGAGTGTATCGTACCTTTGGTGTCGAGCGATTTAGCCAATATAGTTGCGTAATGGAATTATAAACTCCTCTAACAAAAATGATAAATAGCTTACAAAAGTGAGGATAAATGCATATTTTGTTTATTTAATAGATATTTCGTTGGCCCTCTTCATCGTCATATATCTTCTACAAAATTAGACATAAAACCAAGTAAAATATGTTGAAAAATAACCATCATTGCCGCTAATTGCTCTTTAGATCCTCTGCACTTGGATAGAATTGTGGCACACAGCACTATTGCCAATCCAGCAACAGAACAGGCGCATCTATAGCAGATCAGCAGGACGTTTAGTTCTCTTTTGTTGTAATAAATCTCCACATGCTCATGTGTACTGCTATACATTGATGATCAATAGAAAATTATAAAGCGATGATATGCATTGCGCGCAATTTCTATATTCCTTGCTTAACAAAATGTCATATTAAGAGAGAGAGGCATCATAAAACGTACGAGACTATCTCTTGTGAACAAAATGTCATATTAACAAAATGTCATATTAAGAGAGAGAGGACTGTCCTGTGCTGGTGTACCCACAAACAGTTAAATTAAAGAATATAATAAACAAAGTCATGAATAATGCTACGTGGCGTGTGCCTCTGTGCCTCTGCCCTGTGCTGCTCTGCACTCTGCAGGATGCGCGCTCGCAAAGCAGACAGCGGTGCAGGCGTGCAGCACGCAGCAGTTGGACCTTGGACGCTATACCGGCGGTTGCCGCAGTGCGGCAGTGGCACGCGTACCCGCGCCACACTGCGACGAAGCGGCTGCCGCTGGCCACGCCACCGCCCGGCCGCCCACCTCTCGCCTCTCCTTTCTCCTCGATTTGGCGTCGCGGTCTGCTCGCGCTCAGTTGCAGGTCGATTTGACCCTCCCCCGATCGATTCAACCGCACCCCCAGTCGATTCGGCCGTCGGCAGCCCACCTGTCACTACTAGAGGACGAGTGGCGACTGGCAAGGGGAACCCGCCGTCCACAAGCGAGACGGAGGCGGAGGTGGCTGATGTTTACTGGGCTGGGAGAACTGATCTCTAGATGGGCCACGACTAGGGCATTTCGTTTTGGGCCAAAATTTTGATGGAGATAAATCTAAGAATATCTCAAAGAGCCTTTCTAAATCTCATTATCTAAATTATCATTTAAAGAGTCATTTACATAAAAATTACTTTCTATATTTTTTTGACTCTTCAACAGTTTTTCTATATCTCATGCGCACTCTAGAGAGTCATTCTCGTCTTCTATTTTTTGGTAGCAAAAATCTAGAATATAATATGACTATATTTGGATAACCATTTAGAGAAGCTGTTGGGACTTATTGGTATAATGTCATATGAAAGGTCTACCTTGGCTCCCCCGAGTCGTCTCCCCGAGGCGACTCGGGGGCACGGCCACCGCCGCCGCACTCGGCCCCCACCAGCGAGCTCCCTCGGGCGCCACCACAGCTCGCTGACGAGTGGTGGCGGCGGCCTACGGTGCTGCTCAATAAGGCAGCCTCCGCACCCTTGCATCTCCTCCCTTCCTCACTCTCTCCCATCTTCCCCAGACCTCACTTCTTCCATGGCAGACGAGGGGACCGACGTGGTGGCGTATCCATGCCCTACGAGGCAAGATCTGGTGCCTACATCCATGGATCTGCTCCCTTCGAGGTGAGCCCTGCTGCTAGCGCCGGTGGTGACGGCGATGGCGTGGAGGAGCATGGAAGGACGACGGCGAGCGCGAAGCTCCGAATCCAGGTTCTCTGGGCCCGGATCCAGCAGCGACATGGCACATTCGCCTGGACGCGTGCTGCGTGGCGCCGTGCTCCTAGCGGCGGGCATGGAGTTTGAGCTGCACGGAGCTTCGAAGGCCGGCGGGATCCGGTGTCCCCTGCCCCGGATCTGGCGCGTGG